GCTGAAGTCGTAGCAGGAGAAGGCAGAGAGGAGCCACAGGAGCAGCATCAGGGGCAGGTGCCGTCGCAGCGGACGCCAGGGGAGGTAGAGAAGCACCGACTGTGCGACTTGGCCGACCCTACACCTGCACGATTGGTTCGTGGTCCTCTACCGTCCCCTCCTGTTCCCCTTGTCGGGTCCCTTTCCTCAGTCGTTCTCCCCTCAGTCGTGCTGTATCTCCACAGCCTCGTTGGTCCCGTTACCGTGCGGACGGGCCGTTTCACCTTGTTCTCCGCTCTCGTGTTCCACCTCCTCCTGTCCTTCCACAGCCTCCTGAGTCGTCCCTCACTGTGTTTCACGACCCGTTGTCCGACTACCTCCGTGCCTCCTTTCCTGTCGTCTCCCGTGTTTTGTCCGCGTTGGTCACTCACCCCACTACCCCCCCGTTGTTTGTCTTGGCTCATATTTTCACTGTCGCTGGCTTTGCCTCTTCCCACCGCCTTGACTACGTTGATGACCTAGTCTTCGCCACTCCCGACCAACGCGCGCTGGCCTCCGTGAAGGAGGAACTGCAGAGGAGACACACTTGCACTGACCTTGGTGAGCTACAGCGCCACCTTGGCCTGCATATTAACAGGGACAGGGCAGCTCGCACCATTACGCTGACGCAGTCGCATATGGTCGAGCAGATCCTCACGCGGTTTCGCTTCTCGTTCTCCAAGGTACAGCCCACCCCTCTTGCTGTGGATCATGGGCTCACGGCTCCTACTTTGGTCGAGCCATTTGAGTCCAGTGGTCCATATCCCGAGCTGGTGGGTTGTCTCATGTACCTGATGACCTGTACTCGCTCGGACCTAGCTTACCCTTTTAGCGTCCTGGCGCGCTTTCTTGCGCCTGGGAGACACCGACCTTCCCACTGGTACGCTGCTAAGAGGGTGGTGAAGTATGTGGCGAGTACATCAGGCATGGGACTTGTTCTTGGAGGGAAACAGCCAGTTACACTTATAGGTTTCTCGGACTCGTCGTGGGCCGACGACGTAGAGTCGCTGCAGTCTACACAGGGTTAGTGCTTCAGCCTTGAGACCGGAGCTGTTTCGTCGACTTGAGCGTCGTCCGTCTCTAGTTCCAGCTGTGAGGCAGAGGTGTACGCTGCGGCCATGGCCGCACAGGAGCTTCGCTGGCTGTCTTTCCTCCTCACCGACCTCGGTGAGCGGCCTCGCTCTCCCCCAGTCTTGTTCGCCGACAACAGGTCTGCTATCCTGTTGTGCGAGGAGCCTCGACCGGTTGGGAAGGCGAAGCACATCCAGCTTCGTTACTTCCTTCTGCGCGAGTTGCAGCAGCGTGGCCAGGCACTCGTGCGATGTGTGGTCTCTAAGGCCAACACTGCAGATATCTTCACCAAGGCGTTGCCGCCTTGTGACCACCAGCGTTTCTGCACTCAGCTTGGCCTTGTGTCTACATGCCCTCACTCGCTTGTGTAGAGATGCTTTGTCTTGTACTATTGCATCTCACTATATATCATATACATGTGCTTGTGGACATGCCTTGTGGCCCCTTGCTGTTGTACTTTTGCATCTCTTATATCTGCTCTATCATTGCATGTGGACTGGCCTTGTGGCCCCTTGCTTGTTCTCGGACTTTGTGGTGATCTTGAGATCCACCCCGAGAGTTGCTTTGTTCTTGTGAACTGGTCTTGTGGCCGTTGCTTGTTCTTGCTGACTGGTCCAGTGACCCTTGCTCTTGGGTTGTGTGTTGCTTTCCACAGGACTACGGTCACCTAGACTATGGGAGTGCGTCAAACTATAATTGATATAATTTGTTAGTTTAGTCTAGGTGTTACACTGAGTTATGCTGTAGAGGGTATAACCCCCTTAGGGTTTGCTGTATGCTCCCTTGTACTGCTTGTTTCCACTCATTCATTATTCCGTTACCTCGTTGACAGCACCTACCTCCGCTGCTTCTCCTGTGGCTCCTCCTCTGCCCTGTCCTGCTGTGGCTGCACCTGCACCTGCTGCTGCGGTCGGGACTCCTCACTACCCTCTCCTGCTGCAGTCGTAACTCCTCTATTCTCTCCTGGTGCGGCTGCAACTGCACCTGCTGCTGTAGTCGTGACTCCTCCTCTACTCTCTCCTGCTGTGGCTGTGGCTCCTCCTCTACCCTCTCCTGACGCTGCGACTGAGGCTGCTCCTGCTGCTGCTGCTGCTGCTGCTGCTGAGTGACGTGCGACACACCTGACGGGACAGGACGCGAAGGGGGAGGGGGGGGAGGCTACCGGGGCGAGGGGGGGGGGGGGGGGGGGAGGAGGCTCATGGGTGAGGAACAGTGGGGAGGGGAAAGGCCTCAGAAACTCGATGGGGGCGACTCCTGTAGTAACTGACCGACTCGTCGAAAGTGACGCCGTGAGAGGCAAAGAAATGGTGGGTGACTGGGTCGTAGAACACCCAGCCTGAGGCGTCGAATGGGAAGCCACGCAGGCACGAGTGCGCGTAGGCAACTTGTTCGCACCAGGGGCGCAAACGTGGGCCAGGGAACCCCAGACGGGGTAGTCAGCTAGTACGCCCGGAGAACCCTATCCAAAAGGAGACCGCCTTCACGCACGACCGTGCGTCACTAGGCCACAGGTTCAGCTGGTGCGCGGCGTAGCGGGCTGCCTGAGGCCACAAGAAATGGGGGACACCGGCATGGCATATGGAGGTCCGGGAAACCTCCATAACCAGGCCGATGCGTCGCTCGGCTACCCCGTTCTGCTGCGGCGATTCTGGTAGCGTGTAGGACTATATGTTCCCCCGAACCTGACAGAACTTCTCCAGGCGAGTGGCAGAAAACTCACCACCACGGTCAGAGCGTAGGCGGAGCCTACACAGGCCCTGGGCGCCATCCTTCGTTAGTAGCTACGGCTCGAGAACGGTAGGCACGTCGGCCTTCCGTCACAAGGGGAAAACCGTGGTGTAGCGGGAGTAGTCGTCCACCACAATAAGGAAGTAGCGCTCCTGGCGTGGGCCATGGACCGGGGAGGGGCCCCAGACGTCCAAGTGCAGGGTCTGGAAGAGAGCAGTGGTGGGGGGGAACGAGGAAGAGTGAGGCGCAGCGCGCTGCCAACCCTTGACGCAAGGAGTGCATGTCGGCGTAGGTGAGTGAGGAAGCGGGGCAAGCTGTGAAAGATAGAGCTGGAAGAATGAATGAGTAGAAACAAGCAGTAAAAGAGAGGATATAGCAAACCCTAAGGGTGGGTTATACCCTCTACAGCATAACTCGGTGTAACACCTAGACTAAACTAACAAACTATAACAATTATAGTTTAACACACCCCCATAGTCTAGGTGACCATAGTCCTGTGGAGAGCAACACACAACCCAAGAGCAAGGGTCACAGGACCAGTTACCAAGAACAAGCAACGGTCACAAGACCAGTTCACAAGAACAAAGCAATGCTCGGGGTGGATCTCAAGATCACCACACAGTCCGAGAACAAGCAAGGGGCCACAAGGCCAGTCCACATGCAAGGATATAGCAGATATAAGAGATGCAAGAGTACAAGGCACGCATGACAAGCATATCTACAGAAGCAAAGGGCCAAAAGGCCTGTCCACAAGCACAGATATAAATATATAGTAAGATGCAAGTGTACAAGACAAGGCATCTCTACGCAAGCAAGTGAGGGCCTGTAGACACAAGGCCAATCTGGGTGCAGATATGCTGGTGGTCACAAGGCGGCAACGCCTTGTTGAAGATATCCGCAGTGTTGGCCTCAGAGACCACACGTACCACGCACGCCAGACCACGCTGCTGCAACTCGCGCAGAAGGAAGTAACGAAGCTGGATGTGCTTCGCCTTCCCAACTAGTCGGGGCTCCTCGCACAACAGGATAGCAGACCTGTTGCCGGCGAACAAGACTGGGGGAGAGTGAGGCCGCTCACCAAGGTCGGTGAGGAGGAGAGACAGCCAGCGAAGCTCCTGGGAGGCCATGGCCGCAGCGTACACCTCTGCCTCACAGCTGGAACTGGAGACTGACGACGCCCGAGTCGACCTCCACGAAACGGTTCTGGTTCCAAGACTGAAGCAGTAACCCTGTGTAGATGGCAGTGACTCTGCGTCGTCGGCCCACAACGAGTCCGAGAAACCTACAAGTGTAACTGGCTGCTTCCCTCCAAGGACAAGTCCCATGCCTGATGTACTCGCCACATACCTCGCCACCCTCTTAGCAGCGTACCAGTGGGAAGGTCGGTGTCTCCCAGGCGCAACAAAGCGCGCCAGGACGCTAAGAGGGTAAGCTAGGTCTGCGCGAGTACATGTCATCAGGTACATGAGACAACCCACCAACTCAGGATATGGACCGCTGGACACAAATGGCTCGTCCGAAGGTGGAGCGATGAGCCCATGATCCACAGCAAGAGAGGTGAGCTGTACCTTGGAGAACGGGAAGCGGAACCGCGTGAGGATCTGCTCGACCATATTCGACTGCGTCAGCATAATGGTGCGAGCTGCCCTGTCCCTGGTGATCTGCAGGCCAAGGTAGCGCTGCAGCTCACCAAGGTCAGTGCAAGTGTGTCTCCTCTGCAGTTCCTCCTTCATGGAGGCCTGTGCGTGTCGGTCGGGAGTGGCGAAGACCAGGTCGTCAACGTAAACAAGAACAAAGAATTGGGTCGAGCCATGGCGGGCGAAGAGCGACGGGTCAGCAGACCACGGAAAGAAGTCAAGCGCGGCAAGTGTCGTGCGAAGTGTGTCGTGCCACTCACGGGGAGCCTGGCGCAGGCCGTAGACCGGTCGACGCAGCTGCCACTGGGTCCCAGGAGAAAAAGAGCCAGTGAAGCCAGGCGGGCGACGCAGCCAGATCTGCTCGTGCAGGCTCCCTTGAAGGAACGCTGTGGAAAAGTCCAAGGAGTGTAACTCGTAGTCGCACTGAGCTGCAATGTTCAGTAACACCTGAAGAGTGGTCGCCTTCCTTGTGTTGAGGGCCGCCAGCGCGCCGCTCCTCACTCCTCCGAGTTCCCTCCGACAAAGGCTCCCCTGCAGACTCTTCACATGGACGTGTGGGGCCCAGCCCGCGTCCGTGGACAGGGTCACGAGCGTTACTTCCTGCTGGTCGTTGACGACTACTCGCGTTACACCACAGTCTTCCCCTTGCGCCGCAAGGGTGAGGTCACTGAGGTGTTGATCAACTGGATCCGCAGTGCCCGTCGCCAGCTCAGCGAGAGTTTCGGCTCGGACCTTCCTGTTCTGCGTCTGCACTCAGACAGAGGTGGTGAGTTTTCCTTCGACCTTCTGAGGGCTTTCTGTCGTGCGGAGGGCATCCGCCAGACGTTCACGCTTCCGGCCTCCCCACAGCAAAATGGGATTGCTGAGCGCCGCATTGGCATGGTCATGGACGTCGCTCGTACGTCCCTGATCCATGCGGCTGCTCCCCATTTTCTGTGGCCGTTCGCGGTTCAGTACGCTGCGCATCAGATCAACCTTCAGCCTCGTGTCTCCTTGCCGGAGACCACACCTACTCTGCGGTGGACGGGGAAGGTTGGCGATGCGTCTGTGTTCCGTGTCTGGGGATCTTGAGCTTTTGTCCGCGATACTACCGCGGACAAGCTGTCCTCCCGTGCCGTTCCCTGCGTCTTCCTTGGCTTCCCCCCTGACGCATCTGGGTGGCAGTTTTACCACCCCACCTCGCGTCGTGTTCTGTCCTCTCAGGACGTCACGTTTGACGAGTCGGTTTCTTACTACCGTCTCTTTCCCTACCGCACTGCCCCTCTCCCCCCCCTGCCGCTCTTCCTAGCACCAGGTGCTCCTCCGGTAGACCCCCTCCCCCCTCAGGGTCCTGCCCCCTCAGGTGTGTTCCAGGTAGACCCTGTCGAGCCTGTCGAGGTAGCTGTCGACTCTGTTACTGCTAAAGGTGCTGAGCCTGCGCGTGCGGGTGCGGGGCCTGGGGGTGCTGAGCCTGGGGTTGCTGAGTCTGAGGGTGTGGAGCCTGGGGGTGCGGAGCCTGAGCGTGTGGAGCCTGGGGGTGCTGAGTCTGGGGGTGCTAAGCCTGGGGGTGCTGAGCGTGGGGGTGCTGAGCCTGAGCGTGCTGAGTCTGGAGGTCCTCCGAGTGTCCCGTCACGGCGGGAGCCCCTCTCTCCACAGCGGCTGCGTGAGTGGTACGCTCGGCGCTGTAGCCGTGCTGCTGGAGCTACGGGGCCTACTGCTGGAGGTGCTTCTGGAGCTGGAGCTGCTGGAGGTGCTGCTGGTGCTGGAGCTGCTGGAGCCGCTGGTCCTGGAGGTGCTGGTGCTGGAGGTACTGGCGCTGTCGGAGGTCCTGCTGGTGTTGGAGCTGCTGGAGGTGCTGGAGCTGCTGGTCCCGGAGGTGCTCGTACTGGAGGTACTGGAGCTGCTGGGGCTGGTGGTGCTGCGGGAGTTGGTGCTGGAGGTGCTGGAGCTGTTTCTGCTGGAGGTGCTGCTGGAGCTGGAGCTGCTGGAGGTGCTGGAGCTGGTGGTGCTGCGGGAGTTGTAGCTAGAGACCCTGGAGCTGAGGGTACTGGTACTGTCTCTGCTGTTTCTGGAGGCGCTGCGTGGCCGCGGCCGTACTACGTTCCGCTCCTTCAGCAGGTTCTTGGTCTCTCGCCTTCTACTTGTCCTCCTCCTCCCTTACTGAGTCCACCGCCTGTCCAGTCACAGTTACAGCCAGCCTCTCCACTGCCTGGTCCTTCTCCTTACCCTGGACCGACTAGAGGTCTTACGGAGCGTCGTGAGCCTTAGTCTCGTCCTGCGTCGCCTGAGTCTCGTCCTGCGTCACGTGAGTCTCGTCCTGAGTCGCCTGTTCGCGCTGTTCGCACTGGTCGTCGTGTTCCGCGTCAGCGTCCTCCTGCTGTCCCAGGCACGCACCGGATGGCACTTCGTCCTTCCACTGCTCCACAGCGTGTCCCTCTGCCGTCTCCTCCAGAGTCCTCTCTTCCTGTCTTCCCTGACCCGCCGTCAGACCTTGCTCGTGCGTCCAGTCCTACTGTCACACGTTTTCTAGCTACTGCTGTCACTGCCCTTCCTTTGAGTCTACTGCTGCGTCTGACCTAGTTGCTGAGCTTGTTGACTTTGCTGCCGTCTGTCGTCTAGACTACGCCGCTAGTCTTGTTGCTGAGTCAGAGTCTGTCTGTCCTCCGTCCGTCGGGGGTGAGTGTGCTCTTGGCACGGACGTCCTTGAGGACAGGCAGGAGGAGTTTGAGTGCTTTGCCGCTACTTTGCCTCATCTCGTGTCCATGCTGATTGCCCCTGAGGGAGACCCGGATGCACCAGACATCCCGACCCCGCGCTCTTACGCTGAGGCGATAGAGGGTCCCTACTCCTCTCAGTGGCAGATAGCCATGGACGCAGAGATGGCTTCCTGGAAGTCCACTGGCACCTACGTCGACGAGGTTCCCCCACCTGGGGCGAACATCGTCAGTGGCATGTGGATTTTCAGGGTGAAGCGGCCGCCTGGTTCTCCGCCTGTCTTCAAGGCGCGTTACGTTGCACGAGGCTTCAGTCAGCGATAGGGAGTTGACTTCTTCCAGACCTTCTCCCCTACCCCGAAGATGACCACTCTTCGGGTGCTGCTGCACGTCGCCGCTCAGCGTGACTACGAGCTTCACTCTCTTGACTTCAGCACTGCTTTCCTACAGGGCAGCCTGCACGAGGAGATCTGGCGCGCCGCCCACCTGGCTTCACTGGGTCGTTTCCTGCAGGTACCCAGTGGAGCCTCCGGCGGCCAGTCTACGGTCTCCGCCAGGCGCCTCGCGAGTGGCACGACACACTGAGGACGACTCTTGCGGCTCTTGGGTTTGCTCCTTCTACTGCTGACCCGTCGCTGTTTCTACGCACCGACATTTCCCTGCCGCCGCTCTACATCCTCGTGTACGTCGACGACTTGGTCTTTGCCACTTCTGACACTGCTGGACTGGCCCACGTGAAGTCGGAGCTGCAGAAGAGACACACGTGCACAGACCTGGGTGAGCTGCGCAGCTATCTTGGCTTGCAGATCACCCGGGACAGAGCACAGCGCACCATTACCTTGACTCAGTCACACATGGTGCAGCAGGTCCTTCAGCGCTTCGGCTTCGAGTACTCCTCGCCACAGTCCACTCCTCTGCCTACCGGTCACTCGCTCTCAGCTCTGCCTTTGGATGAGTCCGTAGAGCCGAGTGGCCCGTATCCAGAGCTTGTGGGCTGCCTCATGTACCTGATGACCTGCACTCGACCTGACCTCGCTTACCCTCTTAGCATCCTGGCTCGCTACGTTGCGCCCGGGAGACACCGACCAGAGCACTAGAAGGTCGCTAAGAGGGTGATGCGCTACTTGTGCAGTACGTCGGGCATGGGGCTCGTGCTTGGAGGACGGGCTCGAGTTGTCCTCACTGGTCACGCAGACGCGTCTTGGGTTGACGACTTGGCTACGCAGCGGTCGTCACAGGGTTACACCTTCAGCCTTGGCTCCGGCTCTGTTTCGTGGCGGTCTACCCGCTCGTCTTCTGTTCTCAGCTCCAGTTGTGAGGCTGAGATCTACGCAGGGGCCATGGCTGCACAGGAGTTACGCTGGCTCACCTACCTGCTGACCGACTTGGGCAAGCCGCCTCGTTCTCCTTCAGTTCTGTACGTCGACAACAAGGCCATGCTTGCCTTGTGTCAGGAGCACAGACTGGAGCACAGAACGAAGCACATCGCTCTGCGCTACTTCCTTGCTCGAGAGTTGCAGCAGCGTGGTCAGCTTCGTCTTGTCTACGTGGCCTCTCAGGCCAACACTGCTGATGTCTTCACCAAGGCACTTCCGCCTTGTGATCATCAGCGTTTCTGTACTGTTCTAGGCCTTGTGCCTACTTGGCCTCACTTTCTCACTTCTTGACTTTGCTTGTACTGTGATCTTTATACTTATACCTGCATGCTTCAGCTTGCTAGGTTTTTGATTGCTGTACTGCTTGTTTTGCTTTATATAACTCTGCATGTGAACTGGCCTTGTGGCCATTTGCTTGTGCTCAGAATGCGTGCATCCACCCTGAGCTTGCTTTGTCTTTCTTGACCGGTCTTGTGACCTCTTGTTCTCCCCCACTTTGCCTATGGGGGTGTGTCAAACATACATGACATAGTCTGTGTAGGCTGTAGTGGGGTAGTCAATATAGGGTACAACACTTCTAGGTTTCCTACTTGTACCCACCTGCTTTCTAGTTCATTCATTCGTTCCTTCACTATTCTGACAGAAGTCTACCCCCTCGCGCTGACTGAAGCCTCTCGCCACATAGCTCGCCTTGACCACCGGTGGTGATCCAGGCGACCGCTTCACCTTGTAGAGCCACATGCCACTGACGACGTTTGTCCCAGGTGGTGGGACGGCGTCAACATAGGTGCCTGTGGACCTGTAAGATGCCATCTCTTCCTCCTCAGCTGCTATCCAGTACGAGGCCCAAGGTCCCGAGACCGCCTCAGCATGATTGCGAAGGATCGGGATGTCAAGAGCGTCTGGATCCCCCCCAGGGGCAAGCAGCATGGCGCAGAGATGAGGAACAGTGGCCGCAAGGAAACCAAGCTCGAACTGCCTGTCCTGCAGGACCTCCAGGGGAAAACCAGGGACACCCCCAGTGGATGGAGAACGAGCAGTGCTGCTCACCAGGTGGGAGGCATAGTCAAGACGGTGGGACGAGGCAAAGCCAGCGACAGTGGTAACAAGGGCTGAGACAGACAACAGAGGGGCAGTCGGGTGAGTGACCAACGCGGACAGAACACGAGAGACGACAGGATGGGAGGCACGGAGGTAGTCGGACAACGGGTCGTGAAGCACACTGAGGGACGACTCCGGAGGCTATGGAAGGACCAGAGGAGGTGGAACACGAGAGCGGAGTACAAGGTGAAACGGGCCGTCAGCACCGTAACGAGAACAACGGGGCTCTGGAGACACAGCACGACTGAGGGGAGAACGACGATTTCACTAGGACGAGGAAAGGGACTGAACGGGGGGAACAGGAGGGGACGGTAGGGGACCACGAACCAAGCGCGCAGGTGCTGGGTCGGGCAGGTCGCGCAGTCGTAGTCGCTGCAGCTCCGCCTCCTCTGGCGTCTGCTGCGACGGTACCTGCCCCTGCTGCTCCTCCTGTCGCTCCTCCTCTGCCCTCTCCTGCTGCAGCTGCAGCTGCACCCGCTGCTGCGACGGGACTCCTGCGCTACCCTCTCGTGCTGCAATCGTGACTCCTCTACTCTCTCCTGCTGTGTCTGTAACTGCACCTGCTGCTGCGGACGGGACTCCTGCTCTACCCTCTCCTGGTGCGGCCATGACTCCTCCTCTACTCTCTCCTGCTGCGACTGCAACTGCACCCGCTGCTGCACTCGTGACTCCTCCTCTACTCTCTCCTGCTGCGGCTTCAATTGCACCTACTGCTGGAGTCGTTACCCCTCCTCTTCTCTCTCCTGCTGCTGCTGTGACTCCTCCTCTACTCTCTCCTACTGCTGCGACTGAGACTGCTCCTGCTGCTGCTGCTGCTGCTGCTGCTGTGTCCTCTCAAACTGCTCACGCTCCTCCCTCTCCAACCGAAGGAGACGCTGCTCACGGGTCAGGAAACGTACAGTGCGCGGTGTAGGCGCCACAGTGCCAGTGCCTCCAGCTCCAGCACCCCTAGAACCAGCACCTCCACCACCGACACCCTCGGGGCCTCCAGTACCTCCCGCAGGAACACCCCCAGGCTCCGCAACAACCGGCCGCAGAGAAGAACGAGGAGGGAAATGCGGGACGGACGGGAAGCCAGGGGGTGACGCGGGGCGAGGCCGCCCACTCGGGGCTGCCGTGTCCTCCACGGGAGTGACCTCTACGCCCACACCCCCTGCACCCCCAGAGCCGACACCACCAGCTCCTGCAGCCCCAGTACCCTCACCCTCCGCAGCTGCACCTCCCGCACCCCCAGACACGGCAGGGACTGGACGCTGCGGGGGGGACGACTTCGGAGTGACGTGCGACGCCTGACAGGGCAGGACACGAGGGGGGGGGGGCTACCGGGGCGACTGGGGGGGGCTTAGTGGTGAGGAACAGCGGGGGGGAGAAGGTCTCAGAACCTCTGTAAGGGCGATTCCTGTAGTAACTGTCTGACTCGTCGAAAGTGACGTCCTGGGAACTGAAGAACCGGCAGGTAACTGGGTCGTAGAACTGTCAGCCGGAGGTGTCGAGTGGGAAACCAAGATAGACGCAGGCACGGGTGCACGGAGACAACTTGTTCGAAGAACAAGGAACTTCAAACGCGGTAGTCAGCTGCTACACCCGGAGAACCTGTTCAAAGAGAGACCGGCGTCACCCATTGCCGTGCGTCACTAGGCCACAGGTTCAGCTGGTGCGCGGCGTAGCAGACTGCCTGAGGCCACAGGAACTGGGGGGCACTGGCATGGCACATGGAGGTTCGGGCAACCTCCATGACCAGGCCGATGCATCGCTCGGCTACCCCGTTCTGCTGCGGCGAGTCTAGTAGCGTGTAAGACTGGACGATCCCCCGACCCTGACAGAACGTCTCCAAGCGAGTGGAAGAAAACTCACCACCACGGTCCAAGTGCAGGCGGAGCCCACAAAGGGCCTGGGCGTCACCCCTCGCTAGTAGCTACGGCTCGAGGACGGTAGGCACGTCGGCCTTCCGGCGCAAAGGTAAATTCGTGGTATAGCGGGAGTAGTCGTCCACCACAATCAGGAAGTAGTGCTCCTGACATGGGCCACGGACTGGGGAGGAGCCCCAAACGTCCAAGTGCAGGGTCTGGAAGGGAGCCGTGGTGGGGGGGAACGACGAGGAGTGAGGGGCAGCGCACTACCGACCCTCGATGCAAGGAGTGCACGGCGGCGCAGGCGAACGAGGAAGCGGGGCAAGCGACTCTGGGAGACCTGAGACCAAACGGTGATGTACCATCCTACTGAGACGTGGGAACGACAGGTGACCTAGACGGTGGTGCCAAAGGACCGACGGGTGGGTGAGTGACCGACAGTCGCACGACAGAGCAGCTACCTGACCTGACATGACCTGATTTGACCTAGTGTGGTGGGACCCAGTGTGTAACGAGTACAGACCAGAGCCCCGCTCCCTGTGGAAAGTGGCCAGAGGCACTCCAGTGGCACCAACTGTGCAGGAGGCAACAGGCTCGTCCAGAGGGAAAGTGGTGACAACTCCGAGGTCGTGGAGGTGACTGACACCCACCAAGTTCCTAGAGAACGAGGGGGTGTAGTAACATGTGAGAAACCCAGAGGGAGCCGCCGGACACGGGAAAATGGTGGTGCTGTGGGCAACTACAGGTCCCACTGAGGGGTCAACCAAGGCGACAGCGACTGGAGTGCGCAGTGGCGTGAGGTCAGTACAGTCGCGAAAGAAACAGCTGGACGCTCCAGAGTCTAGGGTGCAGTCTGTGAGGTCGCACCCGAGCCAGATACAAAAGCTGGTGCTAGACTAGTGGTAGCTGCAGCTGCCTCACAAAGACCCTCAGAGGCGCCTGGACTGGAAACTATACATGCACCAAGACTGGAAACACAGGTCTCTACTCGTGCAGCCGGGAAAGGTCCTAGACCAGTTGGGTGAGGCTCAAATGGTGCAGCAGTGCGCTGGCGAAAAGACGCGAAGACTAGTACGGTGTAATAGCATGAGGACCAATCCGCTTACGGTGGAGGTCGTTGAGGCGACGGTAGCAGTGGGACGCAGAGTGGTCAGGTCTCCAGCAGGTAGTGCCAGCACCAGGGCTTGTTAAACCCGGTACCCGCAGGGGCCTACGTCTCGTCCACTGCTAGCTAAGCCACTGCTGGGGGCGCCACACCTTGGACCCGCAGGTCCCCACAGCCGAGGGTGCTGCGGCTGGCCCTGCTGCTGTAGAACCCTAGTACACGCCATGTGAGGAGCTAGAAACGGGGGTTGGTTTTGACAGTTTTGGAGCGGTGGGAGCTGTCAAGAGCGGGCGAGTGGGGCTGTAGGGAAAATTCTCACAGTGGTAGGTAGTAAGAGGGGCGGTGCTTACAGGTGGGCCTAAGCTGCTGCTGGTTTTGTTAGGAGGCAGCTTAAGCTGCTACTGGCTTTGCTGGGGGCAGCCTATGCTGCTGCTGGTTCTGCTGGGGGCAGCCTATGCTGCTGCTGGTGTGCTGGCAGCAGTCTAAGCTGCTGCTGGTGCACTGGCGACAGCCTATGCTGCTGCGGTTTCAGGTTCTAGGCGTCGATTTCAGGTGTGGGGTGGCGGGTTTCAGGTCATGCTAACTGGTAGGGCGGCGGTTTCAGGGCATGGGGAGGGTGCTAACGGGTGGGGTGGCGGGTAGGTAGCGGGCGACGGGTGGGGACT